TTAAAAAAATAAAATAAAATAAAATAAACAAGGAAAAAAAAAAAAAAAATCTGCAGTGGAAAAGGAAACATGGATCCTAGCAGGAATGGTCTGGAAATGCTTCAGGTCAATGAGCAGAACTACCACACTCTTTCTGAAGGGTTACACCTGCTGTTGATAACTGGGACCAAGGAAGCCAGAGGGCTGTGGGAGCAAGGCATTCTCCTGGAGGCTGGCCTTCCAGCAACTGTTCTGAGCATCATGAATAAGGAGCTGTAACCGCTGACAGGCATTAAAGTGTTATGTCAAGAGAAACATAATCAGACAAAAATACCAGGATACACATGTCTAGGCTAAGACGTCAGGCCTCTGTTTGCCCTTTCCTCTTGACAGGAAGGGTTATTTGTAAATGTGTGCACAACCCTCTGTTGACTCTTTAGGTTCACTGTTTACCTGTTAGATCTCACTCTGACAAGAACCTATTGTTATTGATGAAAGAGACCATGCCTGATTGTTCATGCCTGTTCAGTCAGGAACCACACAACATGGTCTTCGTATGTGGAAACACCTCTGATCAACACTAAAGGTCGATATGAATAACCTGCACTTTCACAATCCAAATGTGAATAGAAGGCAGTTCTTTACTTTGACAGTTCTTATTTCCATTTTTAGCACTGGTCTATCCAGCTGTAATCTCCGGTATAATTTTCATGCAGTAGACCACAGACTGTGTACATACAAACAGGCTCATAGACTGGCCTGGTCACTCCATAACCAAAAATGCACAGTACAAACTCATTTGAGATAGGGATTGTAATTCACAAACAAGAATATTCTGTACAAGGTAATTTATAATAGTGAAAATTAGAAAATATAAATGTCCAACCAGAGAGAAAGCTAACCATGATAAAACGGTGTCCACATATGAAAATCACGTTTATAAAGACTATGTAATGATGTAGAAAAAACTAGATATGAATATGTATGTGCAATTAGATCCCAATTTTGCAGAGACTTTACATATCAGTATCTACAGGCCCCAAGGTCCCTAGGTGGTGCAAACACTTTGCACTCATCAACTAATCTAAAGGTTGGGGCCAAGACAGCAGAGTAGTCAGACGCTTCCGGTGGACCCTCTTACAACAAAGACCTGAAAAAACAAGTGATTCGATTATATATGGCAATCTGGGAGCCCTGAACATCAAAGGCAGAGTTGAGGAACCAGACTGAGTGGCAGGGGGAGAGAGAGATGGTTCGGAAGCAGCAAGGAGTTGCCAGACCTGACCTGGCAAGAGCCTGAGCCCTTCAGGCCTGATGATTTCGGGGATGAGCAGTGAGGCAGGCAAGCAGCCATGCTCGGGAGGCACGTTTTCTGCACCAGAAGAGACCCAGCACCACAGACTCTACACGGCCACCCAGAACCAGTGAGAAGCAGACCTCCACAAAAGATAAGTACTTGCATACAGCTTACCACGCAGATCAAAAACACCTCCCACAGGGAAAAACCTATCTCCCATTTACCTTCCTGCTCCCTGCTCTGCACTGGGTCCCAGACTGGCTTCAGCAATTGCCAAGTCCCCCGGGCCGGAAGTAGGATTCGTCACACGCCCGGAGCCATTCTCCCAGCCTTGGAGAGTAAACAAATTAACAAACGGGAAAAAATAAACTGCCGGCTCCCCTAAGCCAGGAATCCAGGGTAGGCACAGCTCCTTTGCCTAGGCACAGGCATAAGGGATCCATGGACTTTGAGTGCCTTTCCCCCTGCAGAGATGTGTGTGGGCCTGTTTCAACAGCATAGGCCCTCATTACTGCAGCACGACCGGGTATATAACAGAACTCTAATTTCAACTGTTTCAGCTGTGAAGTGGCAGATTCGTGAGATTTGACGCTGCTTTTTCCATTAAGCAGGGTCTTCACCTATCCACATCAAGGGCCTGAGGACTGGTGGCTCCACCCATGCTACCTAGCCACCTGCGAGAGGGGCCCATGAATAAGAGGTGCCCCCCAGTCCTTACAGCCAACAGCATTAAGTACTCATAGTATGGCTGCAAAACCCACCCACCTACGTGCTCTAGGGAACAGGGACACGCCTTCTTCCTGGACACTCAGGGGTGGCCGTCAGCCCCTTGCTTTGCTGAGCGTGTATCTCCCTGGTGCAGCCAGATGCCTGTGCCTACACCAATCACCCATGCCTGTCTAGGACTGTAAGTAAGAGCCTACACCACACACTTGATGGCTATCTACCTGGGCACCTGAGCTGAATCCATACAGAAGGAGTGGCTGGACTCCTGAGCTCACATACCTAGTAACAGATCTCACCACCTGGTGACAGGACATTAGAGTTTCAAAGGTGCCAATAATCAAACTAGCGCATACAAGCAGCCTATTGGGGCATATCAAAAACAAAACAAGAAGCTAGGACAGAGTAAGCAAACATAAAATAAATAAATATAATAACTTACTGATGGCTCCGAGACAACAGTCAATATCA